TATATATATATATATATACATATATATATATATATACATATATATATATATATATATACGTATACACTCTTAATAAACATAAATTTAAAAAACAAGCAAAATTAAAATAAATATATTTTCGTTATTTGTAGCGCCAGTAAACTGCTGCGGCAGCGGTGTTGCAGCTGCGTCAGCCCTGAGCTAACGCAAACCCTAAACCCTAAACCCTAAACCCTAAACCCTAAACCCTAACTTCCTCTTGTTGAGGTGAGGGTCTACGGTTTAGGGTTTAGGATTTAGGCGTTAGTTTAGCGCGACAAGGCAGCAGAGTAATCAAATAGGGATGCCCTGCTTGGCTTTTGTTCGCGCAACACAGCAAACCCTAAACCCTAAACCCTAAACCCTAAACCCTTACTTGAGTTGCTGCATCAGCTGCTGCTGCTGCTGCGCATCTCGCTGATAGAACTCCCACCGCAATTCTTCATTTGATATCTCTAAACCCTTGTACACAGGCAAATACGCAGGCCCAGCACTTGCGCCTGCACGCAAACCCTAAACCCTAAACCCCAAACCCTAAACCCTAAACCCTTCCTGAGTGCACCGCTCTTCGCTCCCTACCCCACTCTTCGCCTCAAGCAGATATGCAGACAGCAAACAAAACCTAAACCCTCAAAACCATAAACCCTAAACCCTAAAGAAATAAAACCCTAAACCCTAAACCCTAAACCCTAAACCCTTACTGGTGAAGGGCCAGCACCCGCTCTTTTTAGCGGTTTGCAGATGCCTCCATGCCTCTATAAATATTTTTGCTTCGGTGTACTTCTCTCCTTTTGTTTCTTTTTGTAAAGCCATAGGAGTAGCATCATCTGCTGCTGCTGCTGCTGCTGCTGCTGGTGCTGCTGCTGCTGCTGCTGCTGGTGCGGGACAGAAAGGAGTAGAAGCAGCAGGCTGAGAAAAAGGGTTTAGAGTAGACGCCCCAAACCCGCTGCTGCTGCTGCTGCTGCTGCTGCCGAAGCCCCCCCCAAAAGGACTTGCTGCTGCTGCAGGTGCAGA